GGATATTAAAATATTTAACTCTGACCTCAATTGCTTAATCTCTTCTATAAGTTGGTAAACATGTTTAGAAAGTTTTTCTTTATCTTTATTTGACTGATTTAGATCCTTTTGTATACGCTTATTGTCTTTATACAAGATAGTACATTTATTAATAAGTCGATTACCACATTCTATAGCGATTTCTCGATCTTTATTTGCATAAACAAGTTGATTTTCAAGTTCAGCTCGACTAGCTGGATATCGATTATATAGTATGTCTCCTAGTTTTTTGCCTTCACCTATATCTGATAATATATGGATTCGAGTCATATTATCCATTTATTATAAATATCTAAAAAATTAATATATTTGTATTTTGAATGTAATATATGATATAGATAGAATATACGTATTAAATAGAATATATGTATTAGATGAAATATACATATTAGTTATAATATATTAAATCGAATATATATGTTATATAAAAAAAAATGAATAATATTATTCTATATATTCTGTATATTCTGTATATTCTATCTTTCCAATATATTTTATTATTTCAATATATTTTATATTTTTTGTTAGATATAAACATCTTATATTTACTGCTATGCCTAGAATATGTATACGATCTGATGCACCCCTATTTTCTCAGAAAGATTATTCTTATATTATGCAATGTCGTGATATAAAACCAAGATATAAAATTTTAAATGACTTGATAGGTAAGTATAAAACGTCAACAAAACGTATTTATCAGATTTGGAGAGGAGAAGAAACTAATAGAGTTCTCTGGGATCAACCTATGCTCCACGATAATGACTCTAATCAAAATTTAAATATTTTGCATAATGCACAAAATGTACAAGTACAGTCTAGTATATCCAGCCATGATGTGTCTACCTCTGACAAAAATTCATCTAATATAAATGATACGATTTACTCTAAAGTTTCACTAGATAAATCAGCAGAGACAACACAACCAAAGATAAGTCAAAGACTCGAAGCTCAGCTTCCTTAAGATTCTACTTCCTCATGTGTGGTAAAAAAAAGTGTCTTTTCTGATAGGAACAAAGTTACATTGCAAAGCAATAATATATCTAGAAGGAAAAACGATCTTGAAAAATTAATGAAAGATACTGAAAAATTAGCTCCTATGCTCCCATCTTTGTCTCAGTAAGCTGAAAACATCTTTCTGCAAGAACTTTTCCTGCATTTAAAGCCTTATCAAGCCACTCTTCAGTTTTTATGAGTTGCTTTTCAAGTTTTTCATATCTTTCACAATTTACGCATTTTTTTTTACCTCTGACGTCTGTAATTTTTCTGTATTAAATGCATTATGTGATTCTTTGCGAGTAGAAAAAGAAATTGTAATAGTCTTTCCATTGTGTGTAGCTGTGAATTCTCCTTTCACTATCAGATCCCACCCAACACGATGTTGCCATTTTGTACCAAGTATCATTATAGATATGTCTTTTCCATTTCGATTCTTTTTTGTGGAGATTACAGATATTTCTTTTTCAAAAACTGTTATAGAATCTTCTTCAGTGCCTATGGTTATAGGAACATTATATGTAGTACCAATAGATTGTGAATCTCCAACTGCGCCAGTAAGTTTGTGAATATTTTTCTTATCTATTTTTATCCCTAAATACTCAGGAATATTATCAGTATATAATGAATCATTTGCACCGGTATCTAGAATTGCGTAAGGTATTATCAAGTCACCTATTCTACATGAAATCGTTGCTACATCATTAGGTTCTTTTATATCGAGAAAATCAATTTCAAAAGGGTTAAACCAATTTTGTCTTATTTGTGCTCCTTAATATACTTTAATAGCATGATTTAATGTAATAGAATTGTCAAGTTTTTCTGATTGAGGTGTTTCTTTATGACTTGAAGAGTTTGGAGTCTGGTTCTTAATAATTTCAATAAGTGGTTGGAAAATAGTTAGATATTTTTTTGCAATAATATCCCATACCTTATTTCATTTCTTGACTGTATACTTTTCACTATAATATAAATCAAACTGATCCTTCATTTTTATAAACAAGTTATTAAGAAATGTATGAAGTTCAATAAGAATCTCTCTAGGACAATTAGGTATTAATTCGGATATTATATATTTAAGAGATTCAAGAAATACTTCCTGTTCCAAAGTAACGATAGATTTTTTCTTAATAGAAGACTTCTTCTTTACAGGAATCCAACTTTTTTTTTTGTATTAAAACATGATTGTATATTATCATTATTATTATCATTATCAGAGGTAATCTCTTCTTCCTCCTCAGAATCCGAGTTATCTTCCAATATCATCACCTCCTCATCATCTGAATTTTCTGGTTCACTTTGATAAACATTATTAACTTTTTTAAGTTTCTTAATAAGACCGGGACACATATTTTTTCTATGCCCAATTTTTTCACAATTTGAGCATTTATAAGTAACTTTAATAGGCTTCTTTGTTAGCTTTTTTGCAAACTTCTTTACCAGCTTCTTTGTATTATATACTTTTTTTGAAGTTTTGATACTTACTTCACTATCTTGACCAAAAGGTTCTTTTTTAAAATTATAATTTGCATGTCCTAATCTATTATATAATTCATAATTGACAAATTTTATTAAATCATTAAGATCTCGTGATTCATAATTTGAATAACCTAATCTTTTGGCAATACTTTCTAAATAATCTTGCGCTTTATATACCATGGCATTAGCTCTGCTATTATCATCTTTTTGTGATAAAGATGGATATGGGGTAGGAGATGAATTAGTTACAATAATAGGTAAATTTCTATTTCCATTATATGTAAAAGTAGAAGGTTGTCGCTTAAGCCAGATATTTTTTAGATTGGTAAAGAACGCATCTATATCTGCTGGAGCTGTAATTTCCATTTTTGAAAAAAGCTCATCTGGTAAGTGGTTCCATAAGATTGCCAATGCATCGGCATTATTATTTGATGTTTGTAATAATAAAAGTCGAATTCTTTCTTCATAAGTTTCTGGAATATCTGTAGGTAAGAATTTTTCTTGTGTTAGTTTTGTTAAAGAAGCTTGCCTTGTTCCTACAGTTAATTCATGATATTTATGCCTAAGCCAAGCTCTGAAACGATTTGGAGTATCAATATTAGTACCAACAGGATGTTGAGCTGGAACTGGAACATATTTTCCTGCCATTTTCGATTTATAGATATCTGCCTTATGCGCATCAGTAAAAGTATTAGCATTTGCATGATTGGCATCAACTATCATTGTATCAGCAAAAGAAATTGCTTGTTGAATCTTATTACAATAATCATCTGGTGGTTCTTGTCCTATGTAATTAGGAATATGTGCAAGACTTGTTTGAATAGTTTGATATATATGTTGTCTAGAAGCGGCGGCCATATTGAGTGGATTTGCTAATGGATTATTTTGTAATACAAAAATTTGTTGACGTAAATTAATAATTGTTTGCTGGATGTCATGGGTTTTATTTTTCCATTTTTCATATCTCGCTATAAGTTGATCTCGCCAATACTCTAATATTGTTCCATGATTATAACATTGTTGTAATTGCCATTTCAATTCCTGGTTTACTCGTCTATTCAGAAGCTGTAATGCAAATTGTTTATGCAATAATAAATTAATACGTCTATCTTTTTGAGTTTTAATATAGATAGCATTCAATTTCCAAAAATTGCGAGATCTTTCTTTATCTTCTACATGATTTTGTAAAGTATCACATTCTTGTATAAGCTGATGATTACGGTTTTGCAAAGTAATACCATCCTGAGTGAGCTGGTTAATATGATCTTGTTGAAGTGTATCAAGCTGTCTATATCTGTTAACATCTTGTTGTAACTGCAATATTTGATTATCTCGATTATTTCGTTGGGTGATAACATCGTCTATATCCTGATACATAGATTGATAATTATGACGAACAGTATTCAAAGAACTACGGACCCCTTCGATAATTCTGATAGGATTATTTAGTGGAGTACTGTCTCCTCTAAGATGATTTTCGAGTCGATCCAAACCTTGGTTAATAAGTATAAAAAGATCTATATTTGCCATATTAGTGTTTTGTTTTTCTAAAGTCTGAGTATATAGATCTGGTGAGCTTCTTCTTGATTAAATAATTTTTACTATAAATAAGATGAGTAATCCTAGTATTGTTATAGATCCTTTAGAATCTCGAAAATTTGATATATCTATCAATTTACAAAAAATCTATTATCATCCTTCCGGTTATTAAAGGACTAGTAAAAAACTTTATCAAGTTGCACATAATGCCGGTTTTGATTTTACATTAGATGAAGTAGAGAAATGGCTTGAAAGACAATTATTACATCTAATTCATAAACCAGTTCCAAAATATATTCCTTGTGCTAGTTTTAATAAAATTACTATTCCAATGGAAGTTATACAAGCCGATTTGTGTCATATGCCTTATGATAAAGTTGGAAATAAAATATATAAATATGCTTTAACATGCGTTGATATAGCAAGTCGAACCAAGTGGGTTTGTCCTTTAACTGATCGAGATTCTGATAGTGTTGCTAAAGGATTTATAACACTTTATAAATTTCATAACTTATCTCTTAAACAAATAAAGATATTGCAAATGGATTTTGGTTCTGAATTTTATGGAAAGTGTGAAGAATTAATGAATAAATATAATATAAAAATTAATCAAAGTAAATCAAAAAAAAGACAAGGTATAGTTGAAAGATTTAATCGAACTTTACAAGAGTGGGCATTCTTTATTCAAGATGCTAAAGAATTATTATTACCTTTATCAGAACGAAGTAGAGCTTGGGTTATAGATCTACCTATATTTCTTGAAAAACTTGATAATACTGTAACTTGTTTAATAGGTATATCTCCTGTCGAAGCTAAAAAAAAGAAATTTGTATATGCTAAAGCCTCAAAGCCGAGATATGGACCTGTAGGTTATGAGAAGATTCAATTAATATATAATGATTCTGTTTTATATTTACTTAAACCTGGTAAATTAGAAGGTGGAAGAAAAAGAGCTACTGATTGTAATTGGTCTCCTCAGATTTATCGTATTAAGAAATCTTTGGTACAAAAAAATCAACCGGTTTTATACTGGATTGAAGATATTAATGGAAATGGACCAAAGCGATCTTTTGTTAGAGAGGAGCTAATGAAAATAGATAAGATTAAATATTCACCTCAAAGGATACTTAAAACTTATACATAGAAAAGATATTTTATATATTCGAATGTATCTTCTCCAAAATTATATGAGTCCAATGGGTTTCCATAATTATCTTCTTCAATATTGGACAATATCGTATTTCTAATTCTTTTATTGAAAACCATATTTTTATTTATTAAATACCTTTCTACTTTTACAAGCTTATCAAATATTATTAATGCATTATCACCTATGGACTCAATTTCATTATCCAAAAACAATAAAACTTCTTCTTCATCATTAATATCAATTTTTCTATAGCATCTGTCTAGTTTTTCCAATAAATCATAATATTTTGTATTAAAGTTTTTACGTCTCTTATAAAGTTCATGACAAATTTCTTTATACCATGTACAATTAATTTCAATACAATTATCTAGATCCTCTAATGGAAGTTTTAAAATAATTTCAGCAATAATCTCTGGAAGTGTAAGTGGGTTATATATATGCATGTTGTATATTTTCAAATATACAGATTTTATTAACTAAGACTTTTTATTTAATAGATAATCAATGGAGCTAACCGAAAAAATTAAACATGGCAGCTGTATAGGCCGACTTGCTTTCCTATATTAAGCAAATATAATTTATTAAATAAAAAAATATTATGTGGTGAAAGCAAAAAAGTATGATTAAAAAAACTCTTTCTTAAACGCATCAAAACTACCAAATTAGGAAATACCCAAGAAAACAAAAATTTCGTCTCAAGGAAAAAACAAGGAGGAGGGAGGCCCCCCTCCCAAACCTCCCAACCCAAATC